ACACCATCATATACAGCTGAGGTCTGTTCCCTGTGACCCCCCCACACCATCATATACAGCTGGGGTCTGTTACCTGTGACCCCCCCCACACACCATCATACACGCGCTGGGGTCTGTTCCCTGTGTGCTACACCTGGCAGTAGGTGAGAGACACCTCCTAAGCTGGGGCACTTTCAGTTCTAATGCAGCTGGAAAACAGAATTGTGCATAGTACTTCTGTTAGCTGGGAATGACAGAAGGCTTCAACTTGGCACTTGACTTCTTGAGAGCCATGTACCTATCTACCGTCTTTGCGTGGCCACCCAGACTCTCTCAGTTTTACCAGTGTTGGTGAAGCTGACAGGCCAGGATAGGCTCCCTCCAACTGACATCCCTGTCTGGTGGTCCTTGATCTATGGGTGGACTCCTGGATCAACCCAATCTTCAGAGGCCAGTCTTCCTGGTGCCCCAGGATTTCTAGCCCATGTGCTGTATTCATTTTGAGGCCAGTGTGCAGGAGGGCCTGAGGCTGAACCTCAGAGGGGCCAAGACCCAGCTGCCCTCAGCTAGCCTACGACCGGGACAAGTTGCTTTAGCATCTGTTGGGGACTATTTCCTGTTTACAAAATATGGGTGCTAATATCCGATGAGACCACACCAAACCTTGCCCACCTCACTAGCTCTTCTCTTTGGCACTAAATGTGGTCAGCCTGGTTTCCAACACTGCTTCCTCGAATGTGGTTCAAATGAGGGTAGATTTTGAGTCAAAAGAATCATGTCTGAATCCAAATCTAGACCAGTGAGAAAAGGAGTAAGGGCCAGAGGGTGTTCCCGCTTACATCCTACACCCATCGAGAGCCACGGCTTCGGAGCTGCCTCTTTCAGAAACTCCGAGAACCAAAGACACCTGGACTGAGTGTGCCCTGATAAGTTCTGGGCCTAGCTGAGGTCCACCCTGGGAGGGACGCCACCTGGGTCAGGCTCCTCTGCCTGGCTGCATCTCTTGTGTGGGTGCATCTCCACTCAGCAGAGTGGCTGTGGAAGCTGCTGTGCGGTCTCATGTTCTGCAGTGACATCACCCGATCAAGGCTAGGTTCTAGTTACAACACATTTCAGTTACTTCATCCTTAAGTTGTAAAACCTCTTACCCTGATTAATGGTCCTAAAACGGGGCCAACTTCCAAATATGTGTTTCTGCTCTGATTTCCCATTATAAGCTCACTCGGAGTTGGCATCCATGAGGCAGATGCTATTAGAAATCGGGTCAGCTTCAATGGTAACCCCATAGGCCAAATCTGCCAGAGTCCACTCAGGTTTCATGAATCCTTCGCAGCCCTCCCAGGCAGCTTCCAAAGACTGGAGGCCCTGGAAGTTCTTTGTGGGATGTGAAATTGAAGGATCCCAGCACTGGCCTGGACTGTTTCTGTGAGGACCTGTTCTTCTCAGAAATAACAAGAAGCCATGAGTGTTTTCTATAGCTAAGGCTAACCCTGCTGTCAGCTGTAACCTGGTCACCTGGACCTAGTTCACAGATAGCTGTGGGGTTGTTCCATGAAAAAACACTAGGGAGGGTTTCCACAGACTCTGGAAAAGAAAATAGCTTCATGTTGAATGGAGGAAGGGGCGTGCTAGCAATGTTCTGAAATATGCACAGAAGAGCTGGTTCCGACCCTTGGCCTGCTCCCCCAGGGACAGGCCCAGGAGGAAGCAGGCAGCCTACATCCTCCTGCCCTGCCTGAGATGGTGTACTGCCTAGTGGTCAAGATCTAGTACCTGGATTGGTCCTGAAATGAACAAGTCAAAGTAGGAGGGTAAGAGTGTCCTCATTGAGCAGCCTATCGGTTACCACGTGGGCTACTCAGTGCAGTGAAGCCCACCATGTCAAAGAAATCCTGCCTTTAAAGCCACAACAAAAAGCACGTCTGTAATCCCAGAACTTGGGAGATGGGAGCGTACAGATTGATTTCAAGGTCATACTTGGCAAGGGGCGGGGAGGGGGAGAGAGAGAAGAGAAGAAAGAAGAAAGGAGAGAGGAAGGAAGAAGGAAGGAAGGAAGGAAGGAGAGAGAGAGAGAAAAAGAGACGATGTTGCAGATGGCGGCAGCAGCAGGGGACGGAAGGTGCTGGGGAAATGTCCGGCCCTAAACCTCAGCAGCAAGGAACACGTTCACAAAAGGGCAGAACATTGAAGAGCACTATTTTCTAAAAAACAGCTAAGTCACTGGTTTGTAGCCCCAGACCATGTAGCCTCCCTTGAAAAACTCAGGGAAGGTGTCATGGGCCTATACACACTGAAACCTGGCCAGCAGAGACTTCTAGACTGCAGGAAAGAAACTGTATCAGAGGCTCCCCTACAGTGAAGTGGAAATAGGCTGCAGACAGTCTACAGGGGATGAACCACACATCAGCAAGGAAAACTGAGGGCTGGAGCCAGCATTTGCAGTCACACTCCTGATGGACAAGAACTGGGATGGTCATTTTTAACCTGGCCTGTGTACCTGGGTGAGGTGTCAATGTAGTTGAAATAAGAATGTCCCCATAAGCTGATATATTTGAATGCTTGATTCCCCATTGGTGGAACTGTTTGGGAAGGATGCAGTGAGGAAGAATAGCCTTGGGGCAGGCAGGCTTAGAAGTTTCAAAAGCCCAGGCTATTTCCAATGTTTTTCTCTCTACCTCCTATTTGTGGGTCCAGATGTAAGCTCCGAGCTAGTGCTCCAGCACCATGCCTGTCTGCCTGTTGCCATGCTCCCCATTGTGATGGTCTTGGACTCTAGTCCTCTGAAGCTGTAAACCCCCAATAAATTCTTTCTTCTCTAAGCTGCCTTGGTCATGATATCTTATCATAGAACAGTAACTAAGACAGGCTCTAGACTCCTTTCCTTGACTTTCTCTTCTCTATTCAGCAGCACAGGCCAAAAACCTAACAGCAAAATTCAATTCATTTATGTCTGTAGAGACTGTGCTTTCATTTCCCGGCCACCCAGACCCAAATAATCACATAAAAACTGTATTAATTACAACACTATTTGACCAATGGCTCAGCCGTAGTATTCCTAGCTACCTCTTTGTCAGTTTCTTTTATTTTCAAAACGGGGCTTCTCTGTGTAGCTTTGGAACTTGTCCTGGAACTCACTCTGTAGACCAGGCTGACCTTGAACTCATAGAGATCCTCCTGTCTCTGCCTCTGTTGGGATTAAAGGTGTATTCCACCGCACCACAGCCCAGCCCTAGCTAGCTCTTACATCTTTTTATTTTTGAAGATTTATTTATTTATTGTGTATATAGTATTCTGGTTACATGCATGCCTGCAGGCCAAAAAAGGGCACCAGATCTGATTACAGATGGTTGTGAGCCACCATGTTGTTGCTGGGAATTGAACTCAGGGCTTTTAGACGAGCAGGTGGTGCTCTTAACCACTGAGCCATCTCTACAGCCTGCTCTTACATCTTAAATTTACCCATTTCTATTATTTTATATTTTACCACAAGGTTTGTGGTTTGTTACTTTATATCTTACTTCTTGGGCAGCTACATGGCATCTGTATGACTCCACCTTCTTTCTCCATGCTTTCATTTTAGTTTTCCCACCTAGCTATAGTCTGCCCTGCAAAAAGCTAAAGCAGCTTCTTTATTAACCAATAGTAATAAAACATATTCATAACATATAGAGGGGTGTTGCCATACAAAAGAGTTCCACAATAGCCCAAAATGGAGTATAGAAAAGGTTTATTTATCTGGGGATGAACTCACAGTAAGAGTAGCGATTCTCAGCCCTCTGCATGCATTGGGAACTGGAATCAAATCCAGAAGCCAAGAAACCTTCCCCCCACTCCATGTGCATGCTTTTCGTCTGCATTTAGAGTACATGAGACCTCACCCAAAGTGGGCTGGTATCTTAAAGGTTATTGGCTGAAGGAGTTCCCACAGCAGAGGGGAATCCCATATCATATCCCCTTTTTTTCTAAACAAAAAGGAAGGTTTTAACATCTATCATCTATTTTATGTTTGTGAGTCTAAAGAAAACTACATAACTATCTGTCTTCAACTCCATCAAAGACCCCAGAAGGATACAATATTACCTAAGTAAACAGGACGAGCATTGTAAGCAATTTCCAACACTCTGGAATTGACAGAGACATCACACTGCCTGGACAGTCACCCAAAGTTCTTCTGTAACATCGGGGCATCCATCTTCAGCCTACAGGCCCATAGTATCTGGCAGACTTCCATTAAGCAGGAAATTTGAAAGACTGCTTCATCTATATTGGAAGTTTGTCAGTCACTTCCTTCTGTGTCCTGCAGACTCTTTCATAGAGCAGGAACCATGAAGGACAGTCTCACTGTTCTTTTGACAAGTTCAGAAGCCATTTTTCTGTGGATCCTGCATGTCCAGTTTATACAGCATACCATCAAGAAATGCTTGCCCAAATGGCTAGCCTTGTCACATTGAAGGCAAATTCTATAACGAGTTTCTTCAATGCCAATCAGCTTCTCTGAAGCAACTGGTGCAGCCAGAAGCAGACAAGTCTCACTGTTGAGAAAAGTCTAAATCTTAAAACATTTTAAATTCCACATTCTGTAGGTCTTTGAAGTGTTGAAAATTATCCATCTAAATAAAATATATCTCTGTATATCTAGAAAACCTAACATTACTATAAGTTTAACAATAAATGACTATGGATTTGTAATTTTAATTATACATCATTTTTAATGAGCTATATAAACATAATACCTTAAAAAAGAGTAGAAATATACCTATAACAAAATCAAACTTAAATTTTTATCAATAGACCAAAATCCACTCCAGTGTATTCATTCCTATAACACAGACCTATCCCCTTTTTTTTTAGAAAGAGATTGCCTATGGCCATTAACCATTTATAATCAACCCTTACAGATGAAATCAAACATTTAAACAAGCATTTCGGAAATTTGGACATTGTTTTCTCCAAACTTCTTCCTGCTGTTTATTAGGTGAAGTATTTTTAGGGTTCAGGGAAACCTTTCTGAGGGACTTTGTTCCATCAAACCACATAGATTAGAAGGAATCCACAGGTCTCATCTTCTGTGGAAACAAAAGCAGAACCTCTCTTCCAAAGTAACATACCCTTAAACTCAAATATTGAAGTCAAAATACCTTTAAAATGTGTATGCTGGTTTAGCTTAGTATCCTCCAGAATCAAATGTTTTTCAGCAGTTAAATCATTAACATTAGTGTATGTTCCATCTTCATGTGGTTTATTCTTTTTACTCTATTACTTTTTAATATTATCTTCACTCCTTTAATCTATGACTGTCTGTACTCTTTCTTCCCTCTCTCCTAAACCCATGTACATTTATCCAACATTGTGACCTATTCAGAAGTCTTTTTCTTGTCTAAAACTGTCTTACTGTGTACCTGCAATCATTTTCTGACCAGTAGACTTTTGAGGTTTTTTTTAATGCTAAGTAGGCATGGCTAGGACTACTACTGTGGCTTTGCCTGTTGGCTCTGCCCCATCCAACATGGCAGAGGTATGTTCACTGCCTCTGCCAGCCATACTCACCACCTCAGCTCCAAGGGATACAGTGGGTCTATGTCACCATTTTAAAAAATTGAAGTATGAAGCTCCACCAGGAGCAGGAGCCAAGAGCAAATCCAGTCCCGGGAGCCAACCCAATCCCAGGACACCGGATAACCAGGATTGAGCCAGCGACCTAACTGAGAGCCAGCAAGTCAGCGATCTCCACCAGAACCGAAGTGGGACAGAACCAGCTACCTAGGACAGAGAGCAAACAAGCTACACTGGGAGCAGAAGCCAGGAGCAAATCCAGTTCTGGGAGCCAACTAAGACCTGGCAGATCAGGATTGAGCCAGCGACCAGATCCAGAGTCAGCCATCTCCACCAGAACAGGTTCAACTCCAAGCCAGGGACTTCTGCAGGAGAGGATCCAGACCAGGCTTTACAGAAACAGGCCAAAGTAGGCCTGAGAGAGCAAACTGCAAGTGAGCAGAGCAAGGCACAGGAGCACTGAGCTATCTCCAGGAACACCAAGTAACCAACAAGGTAAGTAGAACTGTGACACTGACTATACCACAAGGAACAACCATCTGAGTTTTGGATTCACTGGCACCTAGAAGATTATTCAACAGAATCTCAGACAGTCCCCAACCACACCTATTAGAGGAAAAGATGAAAAGGTAAGATCACACGCTACACCACAAAGAACAACACAATACCAGTAAAACCTAAAGACCCTACAGCAGCAAGACCTGAACAATCAAATATGAATGACCTGGAAGCAAAGGAGCTAAAAAATAACTTCAAGAGACTGTTTGAAATTCTTAAAGATGAAATGAGAAATTCCTTTAAAGAAATTGAGGACAAGACAAAAAATTGGAAGATATCAGCAAATCACTTAAAGAAAACCAAGAAAAATCAAACACATAAAAGAAACTATTCAGGGCTTGAAAACTGAAATAGAAACAATAAAGAAAACACAAACTGAGGAATTATAGAAACAGAAACCATGAGAAAAAGATCAGGAACCAAAAACACAAGCATGAACAGCAGAATACAAGAGATGGAAGAGAAAAACTCAAGCACTGAAGATACAATGGAGGAAATAGACTCATCAGTAAAAAAAAACATTAAATCTAACAAAAGCTTAACCCAAAATATCCAGGAAATATGGGACACCATTAAGAGGCCAAATCATAGAATAGGTATAGAAGGAGAAGTTCAACTCAAAGGCACAGAAAATTTATTTAACAAAATCATAGAAGAAAACTTTCCCTACCTAAAGAAAGATATGCCTATGAAGATACAAGAAGCTTACAGAGCACCAAATAGACTGGATCAAAAAAAGTCCTCTTGCCACATAATAATCAAAATGCTAAATATACAGAGTAAAGAAAGAATATTAAGAGCTGCAAAGGAAAAAGGTCAAATAACATAAAAAGGTAGACCTATCAGAATTACACCTAACTTCTCATTGGAGACCATAAGGTCATGATCAAGCATTATGCAGACATTAAGAAACCATGTATGCCAGACCAGACTACTTTACCCAGCTAAACTGAAGGACAAAACAAGATATTCCATGACAAATCTAGATTTCACTAATACCTAGCCACAAACCCAGCCTTACTCACCTATAAAAAGGCACAGGCTAACAGATTGGATACAAAACCAGAATCCATCCTTCTGCATATAAGAAACACATCTCAACCTCAAAGACAGACATTCTCTCAGAGTAAAGGGATGGGGAAAAAATATACCAATCAAATGGATCTAAGAAACAAACGAGTGTCACTATCCTAATATCTAACAAAATAGACTTCAAGCTAAAATAAGTCAAAAGAGACAAAGAAGGTCATTTCATATTAGTCACAGGAAAAAACCATCAAGAAGAAATTTAAATATGGAACATCTATACCCCAAATACAAGGGCACCCTCATATGTCAAAGAAACACTTCTAAAGCTTAAATCATACAATAAATCCCACACACTAATAGTGGGAGACTTCAACTCTTCCCCTCTCACCACTGGACAGGTCTGTCAGACAAAAAAAAATGAACAGAGAAATAAGAGAACTAACAGATGTTATGACTCAAATGGACTTAACAGACATCTACAGAATATTCATTCTAAATAGAAAAGAATATACCTTCTTCTCAGCACCTCATGGAACCTTCTCAAAAACTTACCACATATTAGGTAACAGAACAAACCTCAACAAATACAAAAAAAAATGGAATAACCCAATGTACCTTATCAGATCACATGGTTTAAAACTAGAAGTCAACAGCAATACGAATTCCAGAAAACCCACAA